GTGGAGGGGGAGCAGAAGGCGGAGGAGGAGGAGGAGGAGGAGGAGGCGGAGGAGGAGGAAGAGGAGGATAATGAGAAGGAGGGGGAGGAGGAGGAGGAGGATGAGGAGGAGGATGAGGGAGGGAGGAGGAGGAGGGGAGGAGGCGGAGAGGAGGGTGAGGAGGAGGAGGAGGAGGAGGAGGAGGGAGGGAGGGAAGGAGGGAGGATGATGATGAGGATGCGAAGGAGGAGGAGGAGGAGGAGGCGGAGGAGGAGGATGGTGATGATGAGGATGAGGAGGAGTATGGTGATGATGGTGCTGATGATGATGATGATGCTGATGCTGCTGCTGCTGATGATGCTGGTGATGATAATGCTGATGCTGCTGCTGTTGATGATGATGGTGATGATGATGATGCTGATGATGCTGATGGTGATGATGATGATTCTGATTATGATGGTGATGCTGATGCTGATGATGATGTCGATGATGATGACGGTGTTGTTGATGATGATGATGCTGATGGCGATGATGATGATGCTGATGATGATGATGCTGATGAAGATGATGATGAGGATGATGCTGATGATGATGCTGCTGATGATGATGATGATGCTGATGCTGTTGTTGATGATGATGATGATGATGATGATGGTGATGATGATGATGATGATGATGATGATGATGGTGATGATGATGATGAGGAGGAGGAGACTTATGATGATGGTGATGATGCTGATGATGATGATGATGATGGTGATGATGATGACGATGATGATGATGATGATGATGATGCTGATGATGATGATGATGATGATGCTGATGATGATGAGGAGGAGGAGGAGGAGGAGGAGGAGGAGGAGAACACTGAGGAGGTCAATGGGGATGAAGAGGACGAGAGGGAAACCGACACGGATCCAAAGGACTGATGAGGATGAGGAGCATGAGGAGGGGGCAGAACAGGAGGAGGCGGAGGAGGTGAAGGAGGAGGAGGAGGAGGAGGCGGATGAAACGGAGGAGGAGGAGGAGGAGGAGGAGGAGGAGGAGGGGAGGAGGAGGAGGAGGAGAGGAGGAGGAGGGGAGCGGCGGAGAACGAGGGGATGAGGGGAGGAGAGGAGGAGGAGGCGGAGGGAGGAGGAGGAGGAGGGAGGAGGCGGAGGAGGGGGGGGGAGGGAGGAGGAGGAGGAGGAGGAGGAGGAGGAGGAGGAGGAGGAGGAGGAGGAGGAGGAGGAGGAGGAGGAGGAGGAGGAGGAGTGAGGAGGAGGAGGAGGAGGAGAGGAGGCGGAGGAGGAGGAGGCGGAGGAGGAGGAGGAGGAGGAGGAGCAGGAGGCGGCGGCGGAGGAAGAGGAGGAGGAGGAGGAGGAGGAGGAGGAGGAGGAGGAGGAGGAGGAGGAGGGAGAGGAGAGAAACGGATAGGAGGAGGAAGAGGAGGCGGAGAAGGAGGAAGAGAAGGAGGAGGAGGAGGGGGAGGAGGAGAGAGGGAGGGGGAGGAGGAGGGAGGAGGAGGAGGAGGAGGAGGAGGAGGAGGAGGAGGAGGAGGAGGAGGAGAGGGAATATGAGGAGGATGAGGCGGAGGAGTAGGAGGATGCTACGGAGGAGGATGAGGAGCAGGAGGAGGAATCGGAGGATGCGGAGGAGGAGGAGGATCATGAGGAAGATGAACAGGAGCAGGAGGATGGGGAGCAGGGGGAGGAGGCGGGAAAAGGAGGAGGAGTTGGGGGGGGAGGAGGAGGACGATGCATAGGAGTATGAGGAAGACGATGCGGGGAGGAGGAGGAGGAGAAGGGGGAGGCGGAGGAGAGGGAGGGAGGAGGAGGAGGAGGAGCAGGAGGAGAGCATGAGGACGAGACGGATACTGTCTGACTGGATGAATGAATGATCGAATGAACGAAAGAAGGAAGGACGGAAGGACTGAAGGTAGGACGGAATGAAGGACGGAAGACCATCGGAAGCAGGAGGAGGAGTAGGAGGAGGAGGATGAGCAGGAGGAGAAGACGAAGGAGGAGGATGATGAGGAGGAGGATGAGGAGGAAGAGGGGGAGGAGTTGGAGGAGGAGGAGGAGGTGGAGGAGGGAGGAGGAGGATGAGGAGGAGGAGCAGGAAGAGGAGGAGGAGGACGAGGCGGAGGAGGAGGAGGAGCAGCAACAGGAGGAGGAGAAGGAGGAGGAAGATGAGGCGCAGTAAAAGGAGGAGGAGAAGGAGATGGAGGAGGGGAGAAGGAGGCGGATGAGGAGGGGGAGGAGCAGGAGGAGGAGGAGTTTGGGGAAGGAAGAGGAGGATATAGACGATCAGGAGGAGGATGAGGAGGAGGAGGAGAAGGAGGAGGAGGAGTCGGGGGATGAGGAGGATAACGAGGATTAGGAGGCGGAGGATGAGGAGGAAGAGGAGAAGGAATGACGAACATGAGGAGGAGTAGGAGGAGTAGGAGGAGGAGCAGCAGGAGGAGGAGGAGGAGGAGGAGGTGGAGGAGGAGGAGGAGGAGGAGGAGGAGGAGGAGGGGGGGGGAAGGCGGAGGAGGAGGAGGAGCAGGAGAAACATATGGATGATGATGCTGATGCTGCTGCTGATGATGATGATGATGATGATGATGCTGATGATGATGATGATGATGATGAGGTTTATGATGATGAGTGATGATGATACTGATAGAGAGGATGATGTTGCTGATGATGCTGATGCTGCTGCTGCTGATGATGATGATGATGATGATGATGATGATGATGATGATGATGCTGATGATGGTGATGCTGATGGTGATGACGACGATGATGATGCTGATGGTGATGCTGCTGATGATGATGATGATAAGTATACTACTGCTGCCTCGGCTGCTGATGATGAGGATGATGATGTTGAGTAGGAGGAGGGGGAAGAGGAGGAGGAGGTGGTGGAGGAGGAGGACGACGAGGAGGAGGAGGAGGAGGAGGAGGAGGTAGAGGAGGAGGAGGAGGAGGAGGAGGAGGAGGAGGAGGAGGAGGAGGAGGAGGAGGAGGAGGAGGAGGGGGAGAAGGAGGATGATGTGGGGGAGGAGGAGGAGGAGGAGGAGGAGGAGGAGGAGGAGGAGGAGGAGGAGGAGGAGGAGGAGGAGGAGGAGGAGGAGGAGGGGGGAGGGGAGGGAGGGAGGGAGGGAGGGAGGGAGGGAGCGAGGGAGGGAGGGAGGGAGGGAGGGAGGGAGCAGGAGGAGGAGGAGGAGGAGGCGGAGGAGGAGGAGGATGCGAGGAGGAGGAGGAGGAGGAGGAGGAGGGAGGAGGAGGAGAAGCTCTCTTTTTGTGAAGGCTGAGCGGACTTCTCCTTACCGTCCCCTCCTCCTCCTGCCCTCCACCCCCTCTCCCTCCAGCCTCGCGGTCCAGAAGCATGTTTTGTTTGGAAGCAGCAGCCAAATGCCAGATGTTGTTTGTTTGTTTGTTTGTCCAGATGCCTGTGGACCCACCGCTCCCTGGGTCCACAGGCATCGACCCCCAATCGCCTTGCCGACGGGGGCCCGATAGCCGCTGGCCCGCCCCGCTCACGACCGCTCGGACTTTTTGTCGGGCGCATATCGCGGATCTATCGGCGACGCATCGCCGATCCAATCTCGATGAGCTCTGCCTTGAGCTGGGCTGCGTACACTTATCCGCGACCGGGGTCGCCTGTCGCAGTGCGACTGTGAGGTGCATGCCCGACCTGCCACCGAAGGGGCATAAACCTCCCGACCGCCCGAGGGCAGGCGCGCCCGGCGCTTATGCCGTTCTTCGTCCTCTGATGTTGGGCCTCCCGGTGTCGAAGAAAAAACAGCGGCACAGACAGCAACAGCAGAAGCACCTCCTCCTCCTCCTCCTCCTCCTCCTCCTCCTCCTCCTCCTCCTCCTTCTCCCTCCCGCGCCTCCTTCCCTCGTCCCCCTCCTCGCGGGCAAGCTGCGGGCTCGCAGCGGGCTGACCCTTCTCGCTGCGAGGGGCGGCGGTCGGAAGAAGGGCCGCGCTCGTGGCCCTCTCTCACGGGCCTTCTGATCCCTTCGACCACCACCTGTAGGTCATCCGTTTGGCACGAGGGCCGCCTCAACGCCGCATCCAACCCTCCTCCATTGTGAAAACGACTCGCCTTCCATCCGAGCACCTGCTACAAACTTCAACCACCAGGGCTATAAGTGGTGTGTGAGGAAGTCTCAGGCGAAATGTCCAGCCCGATGGAGGAGGAGGAGGAGGAGGAGGAGGAGGAGGAGGAGGAGGAGGAGGAGGAGGTGGAAATGGAGGAAGAAAACGGAGGAACATGATGAACCCAGGATGCGTCAACGATGCTGCGATCCACCCTCCTTCTGCCTCGCTGCACTGGGCTGCCTGGCTGCACTGGAGTCGCCTTCCAGGGGCCGGGGACACTTCGATCGAACAACAAGGCCCGAGGCGGAGGCCGGCGGGGGCGGGGGAAGGGGGGCGGCGGGAGTGCCTTCGAGGGCGGCGTGTGCGCCCCCCGTGCTGCTGGAGCCGGCTGCATGGGCCCTCGTCCCTCCTCCTCCTCCTTCTCCTCCTCCTTCTCCTCCTCCTCCTTTCTCCTCCTCCCCCTCCTCTTCCTCTCCTCCTCTCCTCTCCTCCTCCTCCCTCCTCCTCCTCCTCCTCTCCTCCTCCTCCTCCCTCCCCCTGAGATCGGCCTGGGCGTCCTCCTCCTCCCCCTGAAATCGCACGCCCAGGGCCCCGGGGAGTCGTGCAAGAATCACGGCGGACGGTTTTGCGCTGTGTTCGGCATTCGGGGCCGTCAACAAGAACGATTCTGGACGAAGACCCGGTCCCGGGGAATGGGTCGAGACCCATGGAGGTCGACGTCTACCCGCTCGAATCGTATCCCTATCACTGTGCTTGTCATCACCTTGCCCCTGCGCCGATCTCGAGGGCACCCTCGTGCTCCTGAGGGCACAGCCCTGAGCACGTCGTCGCCCTGGGCGTGCCGATCTCAGGGGGAGGGATCCAGCTCGAGGCCGGCTGGACGTTGTGGCGAAGCCATGGCGTCGGGGGTTTGGGACACGGGCCCGCTGCTCCGTGGCCACCCTCGCCTCCAGCGGCGGCTCGCCCCCCGGCCTGCCGCGCCCCCGCGCGCACGGGCACCCGCGCCCCCATGTCGAGCCAGTCGCTCGGCCTGTCCCCGGCGCGGTCGACTGCGGGCTACTACCCGCCGCAGCAGCCGCAGCAGCCGGGCGCGGGCATCCTGAGGCAGAGGCACCAGTTCTGCACCGACCAGCCCGCCTGCTGCGTCTTCGCGCTCGCCCTCGGCGCCTTCGCCGCGGCCTGCGCTTGGGCACTCCGCGAGGGCGACGTGGGCAGGCTGAGGGGCACCTACGACCACCGTGGGCACATCTGCGGCGTGGACGCGGGCGTGGAGGACAAGCCCTTCCTGTACTGGTGCGTGAACGCCTCCGTGTGGGAGAGCAAGAGCTTGGTCGAATTCTGGCGCGGAACCGTCTGCGTGGCCTCGTGCCCGGGTGCCAACGCCAGCGGCACGGTGCCGCCAGACTGCGGTGAGGACCCTGCTGCCCAGGCCTCTTATGACACTGTGTTGGCGTCCTGGCGGTACTGCGTGCCTGACCCGGCGGAGTACCCCGCGCAGTCGATGGAGCTTCAGGAGCTGAGCCTGGGCAGTACCAGGTCCAAGGTGCTGAGGTTCATGGCGCCTCTCCAGCACTGGAATAAAACGCCCATGATCTTCTGCCAGTTCGGGATCGCTGTGCTGATGGGCTACTCGTACTTGGCGCTGCTGCGCTGCTGCGCCGACCGGATCGTGCAGTTCGAGCTGACCTTGTCAATCACGGGGTGGTGCGTGATGGCCGTGCTCTTCTGGAAGCACGCTGTCGATCTCGAGAGGGTCGGGTCAGAGTACTACTTGATGCCAGCCATCCGGACGAATTCCTTTTTCCTGAAGGTGTCCGCCTCGGTCTGCGCTGTGCTGTGTGCCCTGACGTCCTGCGTGGCGGCCTGGCTCAGGTCCAGCGTCCGGGTCGCGGCCAAGTGTGCCTCGGTGGCCGCGGAGGCGACGTGCGACATGCCAGTTCTGCTTCTGGCTATCACGCTCAACGCGGCGTTTTGCATTACCACTCTGGTCCTGCTGACGTACGGCGCCCTTGCGCTGTACACCACGGGCACTATCGATGGGCCTGCTTCCATATCCCATTCAGCAGTTGGGGAGTTGTTGCTTGCCTTTTATATGGCGATGTTTCTGTGGTTGCTGCTGTTCGTCACGACTCTTTGGAGATTTGTGCTTGCTTATGTTTTCACCGAATATTATGAAACGCCTTACGGCGATGACGGTAAGAAACATGTTGGTGGCTGCCTGTTGCTTGAAGGCTTTATGGTTGGATTACGATACCACGCAGGGTCTATTGCTTTCGGCTCCGTCCTCAGATTCCTGCTTAGGGCTTGCCAGAGCCTGGTGGTGTTCACGGAGGCGAGGAAGAGGGAGGGCAGCAACAACGTTGTGGCCCTGTGGGGGCGCACGAAGACGCCGGCACCGCCGCTCTTCGAGCTTCTGCAGGGGTGCGTTCTGACCATGCTTCTGGCGTGTATCCGGCCGTGGCGATGAGCCCCTCCCCCCCCCCGGAGGCCCAATCCCAGACATCGGGCGTCTCGAAAAAATCGAGACGAAGGTTTTTCGTCGTGTTCGGCCTCTCGGGGTCCTCGCCGGGCCTCGGGACCGTCAAAAAACGACTCGGGATGAAAAACTGGCCCTGGGGAAGTGGTCGAGAGGTCGGGTGCCCGTGTCTCGAAAAAATCGAGACGTCGGATGTCTGGGATCATAGGAACGCGAGGGAAGAATACTGGTTCTGGCTCGGCCATGCGTTCGGGAAGAATGCTGGTTCTGGCTCGGCCATGCGTTCTCTCCGGCGGCGAGCCCGGGGGGAAGTGAGCAGGGGTCGGGGCTGCTCGGAAGAGCAGGCTCGGAAGCCCCCCCGGCCTTGTGAGGAGTTCTCCGCGCCTCCGCCGAAGACACCGGGCACTCCTCCGAGGGCCGGAGGGCTTTCGAGAAGCCCCGCCGCCTTCTGAGAGGGCTTGCTCCCTCTCGCTTCCCCCCCCCTGGGCGCGCCGCCGAGTCTCCCCCCCCGAGGTCAAGTGCATCGTCTACTGCGTCTCCTGCTGCTGCTGCTGCTGCGGCGCGTCCGTGGGCTCCGTGAGCTCCAACGCGTGGATCCAGGCGGCGGTCGCCGCCGAGGGCTTCTGCGACTCGGCCAGGAACGCGGACCACGCGATCGAGCACATGGGCGTGCGCCTGCGCGAGATGAACGGGGCGACATCCCTCCTGGAAGGCTGGCGAGGGCGGCACGCAGCAGCGTGAGGGGTGCCCGGACGGTCTCGCTCCATCCCTGCGTGCGCACCGTCCTGTCCGAGCCTCGGCCCAGGTGTGACACCGCGCTCTGCGGGCGCGCTCTGCGCGTCGTGCGGGCGCGCTGTGCGCGGGCGCGCTGTGCGCGGGCGCGCCGTGCGTTGCGCGGGCGCGCCGTGCGCGGGCGCGCCGTGCGCTGGCGCGCTGTGCGCGGGCGCACTGTGCGCTGGCGCACTGCGCGTACGCTGCGATGTGCGGGCACGCGCCTCGCTCTTGTCCGCAACCGTGGGGTGCTAACTACGTATTCGCAGTGCACGCAACGGGCCGGTGCGAGGGGGGAGAGGCCTTCGAAGGGGGCGGGGGGAGCTCCATGAAGAGGGCAGGGGCCTTCTCTCAAGAGCCCACCCGGCGTCCGAGGAGCCTTCCCGGAGGGCTCCAGGCCCTCCCGGGAAGGCCCCTGCCTTCTGAGGAGCACACCTCCCTCTCAGAGGGCCCCCCCCCTCGCCCCCCCTCCCCGCGCGGCATCCCCTCGTGGTCCGTCGTGGGGGAGGAGGAGGGGGAGGAGGAGGGAGGAGGAGGAGGAGGGGAGGAGGAGGAGGAGGAGGAGGAGGAGGAGGAGGAGGAGGAGGAGGAGGAGGAGGAGGAGGATGGGGAGGAGGAGCAATCCCCCCCCCGCTGCCCGCCACCAAGGGGGCGGCGCACGGAGGGCCCCGGGGGCAAGAGGGGGCCGCCGCCGGCTCGGGCGCTCCACGCGGAGCTCCGAGCACGGCTTTTCGGAGACTGCGCCTCGGCATCGCTCGGACGTGTGCGCTGTATCATTCAGAGGAGGGCAGTGTGAGACAAGGGTGACGTTTTTGCATTTTTCGTCTCCGAGGGGCCTCCTCGTCGCCACGGCTGGACGCAGCGTGAAAAATCGGTGCGTTTGAACCCCGGGAGGGGTCCGGGGACCGATTTTGAGCCGATTTGGCCACCGTTGTCTCACGGCCGTTGTCTCACGTTGCCCTCCTCCGAGTCATGCCTCGGCGGAGGGTCATCGAGGAGCATTCTGAGGTCACCCCCCGCGGAGACAGAGAAACCTGCGCGAAGCGGACGAATACACGAGGAGTGGACGTCCGAGCGATGGCGAGACAAAGGGTGTGGGTACGCCGGGGCGTGGTTTGCGATCGGCGCCGTTGGGGCCTGGGAGGCATGACGCTTTCATCGTCTGGCCTCCTCGGGCGGAGAACTCGATCGAGGTCCCCTCCAGCCCCCCGGTTGCCCCCCAATGCGCTGGCTTGCATACCACACCTCGCTCGGAGTCGCCGAACTTCCGCTCGTGCCGTCTTCTGGTCCTCCGGCGTCTTCGGGGTCCTTGGCACGCTCTGCATCGCGTCAGCCTGTGCCATCACCGCGTACCTCTTCTCGGCGGCGAGTTCGGGGGGGAAATGAGAAGGGGCGGGTCTTCTCGGAAGGCTCGGAAGTCCCCCGGCCTTCTGAGAAGTTCCTGAGCCTTCCCCGAAGATGCAACAAACTTCTCAGACGGCGCGAGGGCCTCTAAGAAGTTCCGCCGCCTTTGAGAAGGCCTTCTCTCAAGGGAGGAAAAACCACCCGGACCCTGAAAACCCATCAAGGGAGTTTATTAGAAGGCCCCGGGCGTTTACAAACCAGCCCAGCCCTGTCCGATTCTTTCTTCGGGTGCGTTTTTTTAGAACGGCCTCGCTTGTCGGGGTGGGTACAGTCGGGTCGCTGAAGAAGGAACCCTTTTCGTTGGGAAGGGGCTCCGTGCTCCTTGAGTGTTTCACAGCTTGCCTCAGGTTTTCCTTATGTTCTCGATGGGAAATCGAAGCTCAACTTATGGAGAAAAGGGGGCCTCGTTCCTTATTTGGGGTTCCTTGGGTCAACGCCCCGACTGTATTATGGGGGTGGAAGGTTCGCCCTCTGCTCTCCTCCTCACTCCCCCCCCTCGCCCGCCGCCGATCGTTGAGTTCTCCCTGCCCGAGCGGACCTGCAGCAGCCCCATGGTGCGACCGGGGGGCCTTGGTGCCAGAGACGGGGGTCCCTGACGGCAGGCGCAACCCCCGCCTTTCCAGGCATCGGCTACGCTCAAGAGGACAAACAGCACACACAACAGAGGCACGAAGAATCGTCGATCCCCAGGAAGAGATGGGGAAATATGGGATGAGGGGGGGGGGAAGACGGAGCTCCAGAAGAGATTGGGAAATGGCGGGAGTCCTGGGAGCTGTGCCTAGTGATTGGCGTGTCCCCGTCCCCCCTCTATGCACGGCCTTGGGACCCCGGGGCGGACGAGAGGGGAGGGCTGGGAAAGGGGGAGCTCACGGTAGTTTCGCGTCGTGTCCCGCGGCGCCCCCGCCGTCGGCGTTCCACGTTGAGCGCCGCCGGCGACCCCAGAATCGGTCGATGTTGATCGATCTGACATCGCCGAGCGCGTTCCACTCGCAAAGTGCCTACTCGCAACCGCCAGACAAAAATCCGTGTCCGCCTCCATGTGATGGATCGTGACTCCCCGCGGCGGATCCAAGCCACTTGCGACTTGTTTCATTTGCGAGCAGTGGGACGCGCTTGTCTATGACAGTTCGGGCACCGCCGATCGTTCAAGGTTTCACGATCCCCACGGTGTCAAGCACCCGTGCAGGGGTCGACACGACGCGATAAGCTGCCGCCTACGAGCTGCTGCTTGCAGGTAGTGTCGGCCCCGCCGCCTGGCAGATACCGCAGCACATGGCCGCGTCCTGCGCCGGGAGGCGCTGGGAAACCCCGCCGCCTTCAGCCGACTTGCCCGTGTCCCCGCTGCTGTCCCCGACCTGCGTCCGCCCCGGCAAGCACCCCTCACGATTTACCGAGCGCGTTCCACGACTCGCAAGGAGTCTACGCGCAAGCGTCGTGAAAAACATGTCTTCCTCTACACGTTGTTCATTTTTAATTATTCGAAAGTTCTTTGATTTTTTGGGGGGGGCCGAGGTCCGCTCGTTCCTGATTGCTCTATCCTGGGCCTCTTCCTGGCCACTAGGGGGCCAGGAACAACTCGAAGCGAGCACACTTGGAAATGAGCGCGATTAGAAATGAGCGACGTGCACGAAGGATTGCAAACAAAAAACCTGGAACGAAGGATTGCAACAAAAACCCTTCGTTGGGTTTTTTTTTGCAGTCCTTCTTTGGGTTTTTGTTTTTGCAATCCTTCGAAATCGATCGTAGATTCCCCGCGGCGGACCCGGGCCATTTGCGAGTACACCTTAGGCGATGCTTAAGAAAACTTACTTTTTCGGCCAGAGTCTCGATTATTCTTAACGTTTCAATGTAAATCTTAAGATTTTGATAGAAATTTTGGGTTCTTATTCAAGTTCTGAGACCATGAATTTCTTAACCCATGATTTCTTAACCATTTCGCGTGGTGTAGCTGCTCTGCGAGCAGTGGGACGCGCTCGGCCCTCGAGGCTCGGAGGGGGCCCCTTGGCCGCGCGAGAGGCGGGGGCATGCGCCTGGCCGGGTCGGGACCCTCCTCCTCCTCCTCCTCCTCCTGTCCACCTCCTCCTATCCTCCTCCTCCTCCTCTTCCTCCTCCTCTTCCTCCTCCTCCTCCTACCCTCCTCCTTTTCTCCTTCTATCATCCTCCTATAGCCCCCGAGGTTGCGCTGCTCCTCGGCTCCACGGTGGGCGGGCTGACCTCCCTCTCGTGGATGACCGTGTGCGACATCCCCAGACCTCGGGCGTCTCGAAAAAATCGAGACAGAGGTTTTTCATAGTTTTTGGCCTCTCGGGGCCCTCGCCGGGCCTCGGGACCGTCAAAAAACGACTCGGGATGAAAAACCGGTCCCAGGGAAGTGGTCGGGAGGTCGGGGGCCCGCGTCTCGAAAAAATCGAGACGTCGGATGTCTGGGTCCCGAGGCCAGAGCTTGCGCACAGGACCACCTGGAGGGGAGGCAGTGATGATTGCGACCACGACTGACACACGGAACCGTCGGCGTCGGCCTCAGTGACCGTCCGTCTTGGCCACCGTCGATTCGTGGGCAGCCCTCGCGAGTCGGCGACGGCCGGCAATGCACCAGGACCAAGATCGGCGCCGACAAGATCCCGCGACATCTCGGTCATGGTCAGTTCGTTTTTCTTCCCTGTCCACCGCCTGGGGATACCGATGTTCCAGAGCCCGCTGTGGCAGCGGTATGGATATACGTCTGAGCCCCGCGCCCAGGGCTTCACACATTCGGAAACTGGAGCATGCACATAACCCAGGACTTTTTTGAGGGTCGGGACGACGTCTGGGTGGTGTGGTGTATACTTTTGTTCCCCCGTTTCCCCGTGGAAGCAACGAACATGTATGCACCAGGATCCCGCGTACACTAGGATCCGCTTTCCTGTGCAAGTCTCGGTGCAGGTGTATCGAGTTACTTTCCCTTGACATGTCCATATCCACTGCCTCCTGGGCCGGCTGTGCGTAGGAGCGACCCTTCGCCAGAGGGACTCCTGCTGCGAACGGCTCTCGGCCGGGCGGTGGTGTGGTCGGCGGCAGGGCAAGCCCGGGCCCGCAGGCTGTTACCAGTGCACCGCGTGCAGAGATTCGGGGGTGGACAGACCTCCTGCCCTGACGCGTCGATTTGTGAATTGTCCGTTCTCGGTTCTCGAGAGGGCGCCGCGGCCGTCATTTCCCAGGCTTGCGCCCGCCAGGTTTGGGCCCGAGGTCGTGTTCACTAAACCACGTTTTATTAAAAGGGAGGCCTGTCCACCCCCGAGAGATGCGGCGATCCACGGATGGCAGGCTGAGGTCCTCTCTTGCCCGGCGTCGATCCACAGGCCCCCCGGCATCGTTCGGGAGCCCTGAGACGGGGGTCGATGCAAACGGGGGTCCGCCAGAGCGCCCGACCTTGCAGGATCCCGCAGGGCCAGGGTCGCATGGACCCGGGCTGGGGCGCAGGATCTTGCGGGATCCTGCAGGATCCTTCGCATTGACCCGGGCTCGGGTGCAGGATCTTGCAGGATCCTGCAAGGCCTGACTGACCCGGGTCTGGATTGACCCGGGTGAGCAGATCTCCGACCCCGTGATGTGTCACGGCGTCGCCCCCCAGAGGTCCAGACCGCCTTCCCGGCACCGGCTTCCTGTCCCGAGCCGTTCCTCGACGGTCCTGGGGCCTGGCGCGGGCCCACGGAGGCCGAAAGCTGGCAAAACATTCCGTCGCTTTTTTGTGCAAAACACACACACACACACACACACACACACACACACACACACACACACACACACACACACACAC